AAAAGATCTGCAGTTTGTGATGTGCGCGCTCACCCCAACCTAACATCGCAGGAATCCAGCATTGTAAGAGATGGCTTAGAATGCTTTTATTATCACGATCTTATCTTTATTTTTTGTGATCGCATCTTCATGTCTTTTAGGTTATATTTCCTATTTTGATTTGGGATTCTTTTCAGAAGCTGGTGTAGGAAGATGCTCTACTGTCGTATGTTTTGGTCATCCCACACGTGGTAGATTGGCAGCTTTACGGCTGACTGTCCCCAGGGAGGTCTGTTTCTGTACTGTCTGGATCGAAGGAGCCATTCACGGCACCTGCTCACCTGGCCCAGCTCGGCACCATGGACCGCCCCGCCACGCTGGGAACTGCCGCACTGGCCGCTCCACGTGTTCAGTAAAGCCTGTGCCCCACGTTGTGCAGGGTGTTCCGTATACATGGCCTTGAGTGGGGGCTTCAGAGCGTTCTGCTGTGGAGCCTGTGGTTCTCGATCCCTGCTTCCTAGGAACCTGAGATTGAGTCAATGGAAAACAGATATTTTACACCTGAACACAGATTTTCTTAGGTGACTTCGGTTACCCGTGAGGAAACTCGGGCTCAGAGAGCGTACACGTAGGAGGCAGCTCACATGCCAGTGTTTTCTGCTGGGCTGTCGTTGACTTGCCGAGCACCCGTGGTGTAGACCGCTTCTGTCCCCGAAAGGCAGGGTCGCTTCTGTCTTTAAACACAGGCGGCAGTTATTTTATGTCTTGTTTAAAACACTAAAGAAGGCCCAGCAGGTGGCATGATAGTTAAGGTGCTGGGCTCCCACGTGGCTGACCATGGTTCAAGTCCCAGACCCAAGGGTTTAAAAACCATGCAGGGTATTTGTGCATGTGTGCTTGCCCAAAATCCTGAGAGGAGAATGGAGGAGAGGGGACTGTGGCATGGCCATCCCTCCTGGGGGATGATTTCTCACCCTCTTTCTGACTCTCTCTCTCGTGAGTTCATGAGCCCTATAGCAAAAATGTGAACAAATAAAAAAGAAAGAAAACAGCTTTAACTTCTTTTGAAAAAGCAGCACAGGCAATGGTAAGCCTTCATACAAAACCACAGGACATACGGTAGAGAGTCTTTTCCTCCAGTCCCAGACCTCCTTCCGTCCTCCAGAGACCTAGTGCAGTGGCCGTACTTGTGTTTCCAGAGACCCTCTGTGCGTGAATGTCTTGTGCTTTCCTCCACACGAGCAGCGGCGCACACGACCTGCCCTGCCATGCAGATTGCTTTTTACCTTTGAATTACGTCCCGGAGACCGTTTTTTGGGTCAGTACACATAGCGTTCCTGTCATTCTTCCGGAAGTCGCTGCAGTTTTCCTTTGCTGCATTCAGAGCTCACTTAACTAGCCCTCTATCTGGGACACATTGCCCCAGGTCCCAGTCTTGCTGCGGCACATGCGGTTGGTCCTTGAACAGCACAGGTCCGAGTGTGCAGGCTCACTTACCCGCAGATTGTTTTTCAATAGATGATGTCAGTGTGTTTTCACTCCCTTATGATTTTGTAAATAAGGTTTTTTTCCTCTGCCTTAATCTGTTGTGGGAATACATTTGGATTCATTGGCTTCACGCCATCGGTGTGGCTCCCAGTGAAGAGCTGGCTATTAGCAGTTAAGGTTTTGAGTTGTCAGAAGTTAGATGCAGTGTTTTGGCTGTGCGGGGGGATGGTCCCCCTAACTCCTGTTGTTCAGGAGTCAGCTGCACTCCTAAAAATGGACAAGACTATCTTGGGATCAGTTTCCAGAGAGAATGGCTGGGCCCAAGGGTGCCCACATTTCAGACTCTGTTGGATGGCTCCCACATTGCCTTCCAAGGAGGACACACCAACTCAGTCACGCGAGGGCCTCCTTGCCTGCTCCTCTGCCGGCACGTTGCATTGTCTTTTTGACCTTTGCTTATCCAAAAAGCGCACCTGGCATCTTAGTTTGCATTTCTTTGCATGAGATTGAGCAGCTGTTCACATGTGTAAAGGCCATTTGAAAACACACGTGACCTGGATTAAAGACTCATGGATGAGAAATGGGAACCTGTTTTATTTTAGCCATAGGAAAATGTCTTGCAGCAAAGCGTGTAGAAATGGATAGCGCAGGAGACAGACACCCTCAGGAATTGCACTTAGAGCCTGGGCTTTCTGTTTTTCAAGTAGAACTTCTATTTCTGTTTTCCTTAGCGATGTTTGACCACTAAAATCACCTCAAAGAGGAAAAGATTGGGAGAAACACAAAATTAGTATTCTAGACTTTTTAAAAATGTGCTTTCCTGCAACCCTCTGTGACCTATTGTCAGAGCTCTGAGTCTCAGTCTGTGTGGGCAAGTCTCACTGTCGCACTAGGCCAAGTGCTCTATGTTACTCTCACCATACAGGGATCTTTGTTTTATTGTTTTCTCGGTTACAGTGTGTGTACTTGCTGGAGAGAGACGGAGAGAGGGAAGTGAGAAGTTACGCCCCAGAGGGGGTGGCCACCACAACCCCTTCTCTCCCATCCACCTCTCAGGATGTTCGGGCGTGCACATGTGCTGGCATCATTTTCAAGCTGCCAGGTCTGGGCCTTGAACCGCATTCAACCACATGGGAACCAGCTCCTTAAGCACCATACCACCTGCTGGCTCCTGTGGGGGTCATTTTGACCATGGCGCTCTCAGAGGGTATATATGCGGAGGCAAATTTGACCTTCTAGACTCCTGGGGGGGGGCCTGTAAGAGGGGTGGAAAAGCCTCACTGGTCTTTAAAGGTTAACATCTAAGCTGAGTTGTAGAGGAGTTTTCTGAAGAGCCACACAAGGAAATGTTCTGAAGAAGCAGCCACACTGAGTCGCCATCATCTCTCGTTGGTGAGTTAGAAGGCCAATCTGCTCCCCGAGAATTCGCCAGGGTGCTTTCGTGGGAGTGCATGCCCCGTCGGAAACCGAGAACACCCTCAGGAATTGCACTTCAAGTCTGGACTTTCTGTTTTTCAAATAGAACTTCTATTTCTGTTTTCTTAGTTTGACCACTAAAATAACTTCAAAGAAGAAAAGAAATAGTAAAAATTTGGAGAAGCACAAAAATTAGTATTATGGACTTTTTGAAAAATGGGCCTTTATGTTTCTTCGAAAATGTTAAGAAGTGTGTATGACTGGCAAGAGACTTTGCAAAGTCAAGCCGAGACCCACCGTTGTATTTTAACCCTCTCCATGCACTCACAATGCTAGTCCTAAAAGTGACTCCAGACGATGGAAAATATTCTCCATTAGTCATGATAAAAGATAGCCTTCATGGGACCAGCAGTTAGCGTAATGGCTATGTCGCTGGACTCCCATGCAGTTGACTGTGGTTTGAGTCCCAGACCCGGTGGCTTAAACTCACGCTGGGCGCGTGTGGGTGCGTGCCCAAGATCCCGAGAAGAGAATGGAGAAGGGCTTGCAGCATGGCCATCCCCTCGGGGGGTGATTTCTCGCTTTCTGTCTCTCTATGTCTCTTCTGGCGAGCGCACGCGCCCTATAGTGAAAATCTCTCCGAAAAGAGAAAAAATAAAAAAAAGATTTGAGCCATGGAGGCCGTGCGGTAACTGGCTCTCTCAACCCCTGGGCCACTGATGGCTTAAGCTGGGTCCCTTGGAGGCAGGAGCACTGAATCACTGTCCCCAAATAAGGTCAGGAAGCCTACAGGGTACCCCTGCCTGTGGCCATGCACTGGAAGCCCAGCTCTCAGCTCCGGAGGCCAGCCCGGGTCTGGGCGCTGGGATCTTCGTGTGACTGTAGGAAGCCCTCTGTGAGCGTTAGCACCCTCCAGGGTGAGGTGCAGAGTCACACCCTTTTCTTGAGTCAGGTGGCCTCCTGGGTGCCACGTCTGGCCTGGGCATGGCCGCTCCAGGTCTCAGCCCGAAGCGTGACAGCATCACTGGCACGGGGCTCATGTGGTATCAAAGCCCTTTCTCGGAGACCGCGCCCCTGGCGCCCCAACCTGCTGCAGGGTGGCAGCAAGTGAGCAGCCTTCTCTTCCTGTGGGTCCATGTTCGGGGCAGGGCAGAGACGGCAAAGGGCCCATGAGAAGAATGAGCTTGTTGGGACCAGCAGTTGGCATAATGGCTATGTCGCTGGACTCCCATGTAGTCCACCATGGTTCGAGTCCCAGACCCAGTGGCTTCAACTCATGCTGGGCGTGTGTGCGTGCGTGCCCCAGATCCCGAGAGGAGAACGGAGGAGAAGGGATTGCGATGTGGTCATCCCCCCGGGGGGTGATTCTCACTTTCTGTCTCTCTGTCTCTCTCTGTCTTTCTGGTGAGTGCACGCGCCCTATAAACTACAAAAAAAAAAAAAAAAAACAGAAAAAGAAACTTTTTCAGGGGTCGGTGTGCTGGGCAGGGAATCTGAGTGATGGGTAGATAGGTGGCAAGACAAGACCAAGGAAGCTGCATTTTGGGCTGCTAATGATGGGTTTCCTAGAGAAGGTGACATTGGGTCTAGCCGTGAGTGAAAGGAAAGAGCCCAGCTGGAGGTCCGGGGGCAGAGCTGAGCGACGGGCCAGGGCACCTGCGAAGGCCGGGGCAGCCGCAGCTTAGAGTGCTTGGAACAGAAGGCCCCGGCACAGGCATGCAGCTGGGCTATAGGCGCCAGTGAGCCAGAAGTTGGGGTTTTCTTCTGTGCGCAGCTGAGCCCTGGGGAGGCTGAGCAGGCGGTGGCATGTGTGAGAACAGGAGAGAGCCAGAGCGCGCCTCTGCTGGCTTCACCCGCTCTCCACAAGGTACTCGATCTCCTCCTCCATTTATTTATTTTTTGGGGGAGATTTTTTTGCTATAGAGTGCGTGTGCTCACTGAAGAGACAGAGACCAAGAGACAGCGAGAAATCACCCCCCAGGGGGGATGCCACACCACAATCCCGTCTCCTCCATTGTCCTCTCGGGAATCTCGGGCACCACAGACGTGCCCGGTGTGAGGGTTAAGCCACCGGGTCTGGGACTCAAACCACCATCAACTACGTGGGAGTTCAGCGATGTAAACCCTCTACCTCTTTCTTTGGAATCAGAATCCCCTTGGTTGACTTTAATAACCAATAAGAACATTTTTCAAGCTGTTAATTTTATTAAAAGATTCAAATTCAATGACAAATAGTGGCATGGTCACTTCCAGCCACGGGCACAGGACTTCCTCAGCCGTGGACAGGCTGTGACCCTCCCCATCATCCCCACCGGGACCCCCACCTGAAGTAGTCTACGACTGTAAATAACCCGGCTATTTCTTGTACTTTGGAAAATACGTCAGGAACACTCGTCGCTTTCTGAGGCCTCCGGAGAATATTCACTGGGTGGTTTCTTCTCTTGCTTTCTTTCAAGAATGGGTAATAAGTCAGAGCGGTCCCAGCAGGCTGACTGAGCCACGAGGCCTGGAGAGGACCAGGGCTTCCCCTGAACGCCTTGAGGTCTGTGATAAGAGCCACATGGGCTGGGGAGAGAAGGGGTGCCCGCCGGCACAGGCATGGGAACCTTGAGCCCACCGCGATGCTGGTTAGTCCCTAGTGTCCAGCCCAGGCCCTGGGGATGCAGGAGGGTCTCTGGAGAGCCTGTCCCCACCACGATGGGTGCCCTGTGAGCAGGGGACACCACACACCACCACCCGCGAGGTGCCAGGCGGGCAGAGCTGCTGAGCTCCTGGCTGCAGTCGGGGCGCCTGAGTGCTCCCCGCGGTGGTCCCAGAGGGGCACGTTGGGGTTTCTGTCCCCGCTGGGCAGTCCAACCCAGGGGAGTCTCGAAAGCAGAGGCCCCATGCGGGCTCATTGCAGAGTGTGCCCGTGTCACCGCTCTCGTTAGAATTAATTCCTCGCCAAGGCTGGCACCGCACTCTCCTCCTGCCCGGCCCCTGCGGCCTGCCTGGCACACGCTGCGCTTGGCGTGGGCGAGCGGGGCTGAGAGGCTGCAGAGAGGGCGAGCTCCACGGCTCACATGGAGCCCTGTTCACAGGCTGGCCCTGGAGCGCTGGACTTATCTGCATGCAGTGTGGACAGTGTGAGGTCTGACTCACAGGCACGCAGGCAGGTGCCGACAAAGGCCAGTGGTCAGAGCACAGGAAAGCCGAGCGCCCAAGAGCCCCCCTTTGCCAGAGAGCTGGGCAGTACCGAGCCAAAGCAGCCTCTTCAGTTCATGGCCCTGGTTTGCGTTTGCATTGCTAAATTCGAATTAATCATTTCAAACACCCCACACCTGGCAGCACATCCCCAGGCAGGACCGCCACTACGTGTTCCTCTGTCCCCTCAGAAACCCCAAGGGCCCGGGAAGAGAATGGCAGGAGGCCTCGGGTGTTGCCCGCCTGACACCTCAGAGACACGCTGGGCAAGGGACGTGCTGCCTGACCCCAGTGTCACTCCTGAGGAGGGCCAGCCCGAGGACAAGCAGCAGAAGGGGGGCTGGGACTCCACCAGCACGCGGCCCCCCACTGCCACGGGGCCTCTGCTGCGGAGGCCTGGCGGAGTCACGGGCCTCTCCGCCACACAGCACCAGGGGTGCTTGGTAGGAGGTGGGGCGCTTCTCCGGGGTGTCGGGGCTTGAGCCGTCGGTGGGCCGCTGTCCGATGAAGAGCAGGCTCTGCCCGCGTGGGGTCTGCTCCATCTGGAAAAGCTCGTACTCCACGTGGGGGAGCCGGATGCCCAGAGGCAGGCACCCATTGGTGGCCGTGATGTCCCGCTCAGTGCCCACGGACCAGACCCCCGGGCCCCCACAGCTGCTCGGCTCCGAGAGGTTGAGCATGGCCATGGTGGCCTGGTCCATGGGGGTCACGTGGGCCCGCGTGACCTCGAACGCCAGCTCGGTGGCACCGTGGACCTTGGCTGATGGCATGCCCCTGGTGTAGCGGCCAGCGGCGTAGACGGTGAAGGTGGGCTGCTGGCAGGCTGGATCTGAGAAGTGGTGGTAAGACCCTTCCCAGGAGCGGCTGCGCCCGTGGAAGGTGAAGAGGCGGGTGAGGAAGAGCACGGCCGGGCGCACCTCGCACCCCGCGCTGACCCACCGGCCGCTCAGGCGCAGGGGCAGGGCCAGCGGGGGAGGCAGCACGGGCGGGTGGAGCTCATCGGAGCCGGCGATGAGGCTGCAGGCCGGGCAGGGCCGGGAGTGGTGCTGGCAAGAGACAGACGAGCAGTGACTGTCGGGGGTGGGTGCAGCCTGTGCGCGGCCGGCGCAGCCCATGACAAGCCAGCTTTCTGTCCGACCTGCCCTGTCCTCTCCTGCCTCCAGCCTCTTGGTTGTTCTCACTCCGCAGCCTTCCCTCCTCCCCTGGGTCTTTGCACATGCTGCCCCTCCTACCCAGAACTCCTAGCCAGGCCGCCACCCCCTCCGCCCGATTGGCCTCAGCTCAATGACGGGCGAATGCCCCATGTAAAGTAGCCCTTGGGCCCAATGCATCCTTTCTTTAAAATTTGCTAGAGGGTGCATGTGTTTGCTGGAGAGAAAGAGAGGGAGAGTGAAAAAAGTCTCCCCATGGGACCTCGTTACACTGCAACCCCTCCTGCTCTGTTTTGCCCTCCTTTTGGGATTTTAGGCACACAGGCACCGGGGTATTTCTCAGGCTGCCGCGGCAGGGCACAAACTGCCCAGCTGGCCGTGTGAGATCAGCCCCCGTAGCGACCCCTTGGTCCCCAGGCCTGGCACGGTGCGTGGCTCACAGCAAGCGTACCTGCTGAATGGATGAGTGAGCTGCGAGTGGCGTGTCGGCGGGCCTCGCGTCCTGGGAAAAGTCGCCCTTTCTTGCACCCGACCCGCTTGGTCTGGAAATCCAGCCATTCATGGCCTCTGCCCATGCTCATTGTTAACCGCACCCCACTCTTTGAGAGGCTTCCTAAGTGCCAGGAGCTGTGCTCAGCGCTTCCTGGTCAGCTGCTGCCTGTCCTGGTGAGGAAGCTGGGACCTGGGGCCGTGGTCTGCCGGGAAGTGGCAGAGGATGCCACCATGCAGCCGCCCTGCCCATCTGAGCCCCCACCTTCCTGCACTGAAAACCTCGTGGCACTTGGCATCTCCCTGTGGGTGGAGAATGAAAGCTTTTTTTTCTTTCTAAAAATTTTTTAGGCTTATTAACTTCTTCCATGAGTGAGCGAGACAGAGATGAGGTCACCTCTAGCAGGGTCCTGGAGCCTGGATCCCTCCCAGCCGTACCCAGCCCCAGGCCACGGTCCACGGGAGGCCGGCATGTTCAGGGAGGCCTCTGGAAGCAAACCTGGGCCTTCCTTGTGGACCAGCCGGGCAGGAGGTTGTCACTGCTGTGCCAGCCCTGGCCGCCCAGGGGAGGCTTTTTATCTTAGATTTCTTACGGTAGGCGGGGGCCAGCAGACAGCGTAGCTGTTATGGTGCTAGACTCCCACATGGCTAGCCGTGGTTTGAGTCCTGGACCCGGTAGCTTGAAACTCACACCAGAGACATGTGCGTGTGTGCCCAAGATTCTGGGAGAAAAATAGAGAAGGGATTGGGGCATGGCCACCCCCACTGGGGAGTGACTTCTCACTTTCCATTTTACTGTCCTTCACTCTCTCTCCCTCTAGGAAGTACACACGCCCTAAGGCAAAACCTCTAAAATAAAACAAAGAACTTAGGGTGGGGGCCATCATTCACTCCAGCCCCTGTGGAAGGTGAACATGACAACAAGGATCAAGCGACGACAAAATATTCATGTGGGAACCCAGTGCTGAGTCTGTGCTAAGGAGAGGGCCTGGGGTGTCCATTCCGGGCTGTTTCCGAGGCGGGCCGGCCACGGTTTCAGGCGCAGCTGCACCCCAGGCGCTGCAGTGGGTCTCCTCCTCCATCTGCCTTACTCCAGTCATCCTGCCTTCCAAATTGCCATGCACCGCTTCCAGTAAGACGTGTCAACAGGAGAGGAGGCTGAGCCCCACGGCCCGGGGCCGTCAGTCTGTGTTGTGGAGCGGAAAAGGTCAGGAAGGGCTGAGGAAGACCCAAGTACAGGGCTTTGTTTTCTCTTCCTTTTTGTCTTTTAAGAGGGTGCCACCACCCAGAACATTCTGCTGGAAGAGAAATGGCCTGGGGACAGCCACGTGCTGAGGCTGCGGGTGGGCAGCCGTCTCTGGCCTTTGCCGTTCCAGAAGGAAACTCGGGGTCAGGGAAATTGAGGGCAAGGGCGTGCGTGTGAGGACTAAGCTGGGAAATCAGCCCAATGTATTTTATTTTCCTTGCAAAAAAAGCCAAAAGGTATCCAGAGATCACTGCCAGGGACTGTCATGCCTGGTAAGTGATGCTGGGAGTTTTGGTTCAGAACGAAAATCCCAGATGACTGAGAAGAGTTTGCTTTTGTTTCGTTTCTGAATTGCTGCATTTCATACATTCTTAGTATTAATTTCTGTGATGAACCTAAACTTGTCCCGATTCCCACAACGGAGCGGACGAAATGCTTTCTGGTTTGGGAGATTTCTGACCTAAGAGCCCGCACACACTTGGTGGCCGCCAGGTGCCCGCGGGAAGAGGCCAGCTTGGTAGTTGGGCAGGGCGTTGGCTGGTGGTGCCGCTGCCGCCACTTGGCCTCCGGTAGGCATTCTACCCCGTGCGCCGACTGGTTCACGCTAACGCGTATGGACAGGACACGCATGACATCAAAATATTTCCAGCAAGGCCCTCTCACCACGCACATGCACGCACACACATGCACACATGTGAGCACGCGCAGCGTCTGCAGCAGAGCGGACATTTGGGGGTGCTAGTGGGTGATTCGGACTGAGCAGTGTCCTGCATAGCAGAACCCAGCTGAGAACGAGCACACTATGCCAGTGGGAGAAGGGGGAAGAAGGCATTTTCTCCCCTGGTGCTTTTGAAGTGCTAAAAATAAGGGCCTGTCTCCATTGCACCCCTCCCCGGAGTCCGCGGAGGCCTGGAGCTGCACGTGTTCATAAACAGGCCCAGCCGGCGGGGCTCACACATGTGAGGAAGCCAGGCTCTTCTGGCTTAGGCCCGTCACAGTTACTTCTCACACGGCATGTAGCATTTCTAATTAGCCCCCGGAGGGGACGCGGGGCCCAGGGGATTCGGGCCGAGTGCTGGCGAATTGGTCAGGATCCTCTCCAGACAATGAATTTGGGGATTGAACTGGTTTTACAGTAACATCTAGAATGTCCGAGTCTACTGTCTGGTCAGGTCGTGGGCACAGCTCGGACTGCAGAGAGCCAAAGGGAAAGACTGTCCCGTCCCGTGGGGTCCCTCTGCACTGTGTCCCCCCAGAAGTACCTCCCGTCCCCCACTGAAGGGCCAGCGGCGCAAGGATGAGCACAGTGTCGTGCAGGTGGTCTCGCTCGCCTGCACACACGTTTCTACGCGTGCTGTTTCTAGTCGCATTTCAGCTAGCCGGGCAGCAGGCAGGCAGGGACAGTGATGGCTCCAGAGCCCGGCCTAGGGTGACATGAAGGTGGCCCCACAGCCCCGGGGGCTTGTCCTCTTTGCCTTTGGAGCCATGTTCCCTCCTGACAGGGCAACAGGGGCTGGCGTCCCCACCATTGCACTCCCCTTCTCCAAGTGGGATGCACACCAGGCCAGCCTAGAACAGCTGCTGTCAGGCTGTTACAGAAAGAGCTCGGGCGTGATTTTCTGAGTAGGAGAACTTGCCCTGCTCCTTCTCTGGCCTGGACAAGGAGCGGCAGGCAGACAGAGCCTGTCCCCTGTGTCCCCTGCTCCGGGACCCTGACAGACACCTGCCCCTTCTGGTTTAGGCCCTTGAGCGTCTAGTCTAGGAGGCATTTAACACGCCGAAAGATGTGAGGTGGCCCGAAGCCTGGATGAACACTCGGGGAGCCTGGACTCGCCGTCCATCCCCGTCTGTCCATCTGCCCGTCCCTCCCTCCCGCATTTGTTTGCACTTTCCAATGTGTCCCTTGGGTGTCCCTAGGTTCCCTTTAGTCTGGAGCTCCCCCCCACCCCCAGGACAGCCCACAACCACCTGGGAGCTTGTGAGAACACAGAACCCCGAGCCCTCCCAGACGTGACGGCCGGACTCTGCACCCTGACAACAGGCCCCACTGTGCAACAGGGTGTGCCCAGTGCGGGGGAGGTCCTTCTGGAGCTGCTCAGAGTGGGGACTGGGGTGGGGGGCATTGGAGCTGGGAGCCACATGAAGGGGAGTCGGCCAGGCTGTGCCCAGTAGGGGCAGAAACGGAAGCCTGCAGATCCCTGAGGACCCGATCTGGAGGGTGTGGGATGGGGGGCGCCCACTAGGAAGCAGTGTTCCTTTCCAGAAGCCAGCCAGCCTGACAAAGGCTGGAGAAGGCTGTTCTGGCAGAGGGGACAGCACGTGCAAATGTCCTGAGGCCAGCAGGCCAGAGTGGGGGCCAGTGACAGGAGTGGCAGAGGGCCCTCAGCAGGGACCAGGTCACTCAGGGCTGGCTGGACTGGACTCAGTGCTTGCCCTCCCAGGACGCCAAACTCACCAAGGCGCTCTGCAGGGGGCGCTGGTAGCCGGTGGGCCGGTAGTGTTGCCTCTCTGCCCAGTTGGTGTGGATGTCCCCCAGGTACAGCTCTTCAACCAGCTGGGGCACGGCCCGGGACTGCGGCTGCAGGTGGCGCTGCACGCGGACCAGGCTGAGCTCATGCATGGTGAAGCCCAGGGCAGCCGTGCAGCTGCCCCCAGCCTGGGCACTCAGCAGCTCATACAGAGCCCCAGGCCGCCAGGCTTGGGTGTGGGGCAGCCTCTGCGTGCAGCCCCGGCCGGCGTGGGTCTCGTTGAGGCGCCCCGTGATGTGGAGCAGAGCGCGATGGCTGTGGAAGACGATGCCCACCTTGTGCAGGTGGTAGTCGGCTTCAGTGGCGCCCTGGGTGACCCAGGAGGCCCGGCGCAGGCGAATCCTGCCCTTGACAAGCAGCGAGTGGGCAGGCTGCCGGCAGAAGGGGTCCTCGTAGTAGAACTGGTAGGCTCGGAAGAGGCGGTTGGGGTAGAAGGTGTAGGAGCGGGTGAGGAACTCTGGGCCTGGACGCACCTCGCAGCTGCCGGGAGAAGGGGGACATGGGGAGAGGATGAGCCCTGTCCCCCCAGGCTGAACTCCATCTCAGGCCACAGTTCAGGCCCCTGGACTGGTCTTAGTTGGTCACCTTGGGGCCCAGGGACCTTCCCCCATGCCCTGTGGCCTTAACTAAAGTTCTTGAGCTCCCCTCCCATTCCAAAGAATCACCATAATGGGGTGTCTCTGCAAACATCTGGGGACCCGTGTGCGTGAGCACTGCGAGGCAGGGTCCCGCCAGTGCTGGTCCAGCCCAGCAGGAACCCCCACCCCGACACGAAGTTACTTCAACCAGGGACCACCCGTGCCGCTCTCTGCTTGGCATTTTCCACAGCAGGGCTACCGGAGCAGAGGAAGCATTTCTCACTGAGCGAGGAAGCGGTGTCCTCCTTTTTCTTTCTGTCTGTCTGTCTGGAGCTGGTCTGTCTCTAACAAGGACCGCCCTCATCTCCTACAGGGAGACGCTGAGCCTTAGGTAGACATTGAATCGGGGGAACATTTCGTCCTGTCGTTTTGTTTTCATCGAGTTCCTTTCCAAGTTACCCCTAAATTAAGGTTCTGTTCTCCACCCCGGGGTGACAGTGCACTTTGGAAATGATCAGTGTGCTGGGAGTGTGTGGTTTACCCTGTGCAATTACACTGCAGAGAAGCTGTGGACTTAATGAATGCATTTAAGTAAACTAAAGAAAAAGAGTAAGTAATGGGGAAGTTGAAGACAGGAGGGTCTCAGACCAAGCCTGGAGAAGGAGATTTCCCCAGGGGACACAGTGGGGTTTCTCAGACTCCAGACCCTTTCCCCCCCCTCCCCCAGGAAGCACCAAGGCCTGACTGGAGAGGCAGTGGGGAGCTTCCTAGGATGGGAGTCCAGGGGCAGTTTCTTTGAAGAAGTGCAGCATAACGCTGGTGCCCTGGGGCCAGAGTACTGCGTGACCCGCGTCCCTCTCCCTGTCGCCAGCTCTGTCTCAGGGTGGCCCTGAGGAGGCAGGGCTGCCTGCAGAGCCTAGGGGTGCCTTCAAGTGACTTCGCAGACACCCACAGCACTCCAGCTGTCTACTGGCTGGCTTCCTCCCTGAGCTCAGGAGGTGAGTGGGGGACCCGGAGGGCCCAGTTCTTGGCACCAGCATGGACCGCCCCGAAGGGGATGGCTGGGAGGGAGGATGTAGGCTCCCTTGTCCCCACGCCAGCCTGGGAGGCGAGACTGCTATTGAGATTCTGTAGCACTGATGGGGTAGGGCACAGAGCCCGGAGCTGCAGGACAGTCGCTGTCACTTGGCCATGTTGAGGGCACTGCCAGACTAGAGAGAGGATGAGGCAGGACAGCCTGGCTCTTCCAGCCTGCCGCTTCCTGTCGCAGGGCCTTTGCACCAGCCATGCCTCCGGCCTTCTGGATGGCTCTCCCATTTCTCAGCCAAACACTTCCACCTCCAACCAGCCTTCCCTGACCACTCTTTTTTTTTTCTTTAGAGATTTTTGCTACAGGGCGCAAGTGCTCACTGGAGAGACGGAGAGAGACAGAAATAGAAAGAGAGAAATCACCCCCCAGGGGAGATGGCCATGGCCATGCCGCAATCTCCTCTCGGGATTTTGGGCATGTACGCACACATGCCCAATGTGAGTTTTAAGCTGCCGGGTCCAGGACTTGAACTGCAGTCAGCTACATGGAGTCCAACAATGTAACCATTACACGATCTGCTGGTCCCCGGCCACTCTTTAAGGAGCCCGTGTCTGTGTAGCAGGTGCGCACTGTCATGTGAGTGGATGACATCCCTGACCGGCTGTGGCAGGGCACGATGTCCAGAGTCCCGGCCTCTGGGCACACTGTGCAGGGCGGAGGCAGCAAAGCCGTGAGCTGGACAGGGAGCAGCTGCCTGGACACCTGCATGACCTGTGCCCACTTCCAGCCCTGGCATCGTGGCTCCCACAGTGGACCGTCTGCTGCCCTGGGGCCGTGGTCATGGTGACCTGGGGGTCTTACCCAGTGGAGATCCAGGGTCCCTCGAGGCGCGGGGGCAGGACTGCAGTGATGGGCACTCTGTCGGGCCGGGGCTGCTGGCAACGGGGTTCCCAGCGCAGACGGCTGCTCCCCACAGCCCCTGCTGCCTTGGCCATGTGGGCTGCAGTCCAGACAGATGGGGGTTAGAGGCCCAGCTTGGCCTGGGCCTGGGCCCCGCCTGGGAGGCAGCTGGGTAGGGGCCAGGTGGGCTCTGTCCCCACCCTCACCCGGACTCCTCCCAGGGTGACCAGCCCCCTCAGGGTGCCCCTAGTCCTGGGGGTAGTGATGAGCTCCCCCCACGGGGACGCCTGGAGGTGGCTTCGTGACTCAGCTCCTCCTCGGTTCCCAGATGTGGTCACACTGGAACCCAAGACTCCTAGTGGAGCCGCCCCAGATCCTGGCTGTGAGGGTTGGACCTCTGGCAGACTCTCCTGCCCTGGCTGGCTGTGGGGACAAGGACCTGGCACTCCTGGACAAAGAGCACTCGCGACTGAGCCCCCCAGCAGACCACTCCCCTCTACCAGGAAGCCAGGTTCTGCTTGGTCCTCCTGGCAGGTCCACACTCAAGGCCGTGCACTTCTGGTCACACCTGTGCCAGACCTGTGGACCACCCACCTCTCTATCCGCAGGAACAGATGTCACCACACACAGTGGGTGCACAGTGGGTATGTGGTGGGTGCCTGAGGCCGGCCGAGTGGGCCAGCCCCTTGTCGCTGAGACAGTGCCTGGGCTCCAGGTCCTCTCGGGCACCTCTAGATGCGCTCAGTCCCAGCCCTGGTCTAGGACATGGGACCCTTGCTGTCGCCTTCAAGGAGTTGCTGCTTGGGGCGAGGTGTGGGGGACAGACTCTGAGACCTCCAGCTGCTACAGGGCAGCCAGCCCCAGCCCCTCGTCTCCACTCCAAGGAGCCGGTGCGAGGTAGCCCAGGTGGTGGGGTCCGGGGCCAGCAGGCGGCCAGCACCTTCTCTGCTAGGGTCATGCTCACCGGCGGCCAGAGGGCAGGTAGGCAGCTTCCCACCCAGCCCGGACCTCGGGCACGGGTAGCTGAGCAGAGAGGTGAATGGTGGCCCACCCCGGCCCTGCCTTGCACATTCACCCCTGCCAGACTGGGGCCCAGGGAATGCCCGTGCCAGGGAAGGCTCAGGGCTCTCTGCACCCGAGCCCAGACTCCCTGCACCCCAGTGGCCTCAGGAAAATGAGGCATGTCAGATCCCCCTTCCCTGGAGGTCGGGATCATATTTGGAGACTCCAGCCCCGCGGTGACTAGCCGAGAAGGTCCCTGCGGCGGCCCCTGCTCACTCAGCAGGGCTCGTTGTGTGTGGCCTGGGAGGTGAGTGTCCGGGTGACTTCCTGCCATGCGCAGAAAAACAGGGTCCCTGCTAAGAGCTGGGCCTGGATGGGGTCACATGACATAGGTCAGTGTGTCCGCGGTCTGATCCTGGTCGTCAGCTCTGGAGCCTGACGGCGCAGATGTGTCCAGCCGCCTGGCCAGGGCGAGGGGCTGACGTGGGGACGCAGTGGGACAGAGCACTCAGCAGACCCCTGGACGTGCAGGGTGAGGAAGCCGGCACCGCACCGGGCCCCCTGGGTTCTGTTTTCCCCCGCAGTCACGTCCTCGGTGTCGGTCAGCAGACCAGGAGAAAGGAAACCAAATAGCCACGCAGGCAGGGCCAAGGAGGCCCTACTGTGTGCGCTGGTGCTCGGCGGCTCCGTGGAGCCAGAGGTCACAGGCAGAGAGAGCGAAATGCCGAGGGGAGCGTGAGCGAGAGGCCTCAGGGCTCTGTGTGAACTCGCTTGTCTGATTATGCGGGGGCTGTGCTGGGAATGGCAGCAGTGGGGCACCTGAGGAGGGCCATGCCCGAGGACGGCCCCCAGGGGTGCGGAGCTGGGTCCGCGCACCTCGGTGTCCACACCTCCTGTATCCCAGTGCTTCCACCAGACACCACATCCCCAGATCCAGCTCCGCAGGTTACCTTGAACATCGGGGGCTGTAAGCAAGCGCAAAGGCCAAAGGCCACCATTCCGTGGATGGGAGGAAGCAAAGCAAGGGTCAAAGGGCAGCAGAGTTGCCTGGTCGGAAAATCAACCTTGATTTAGAGCAGAATACTGACTGATGGGACCTGGAAGAGATGCTGCCATTGTTTCTGGGACCTCAGGTTCGTAAAGATGTTTTCTGTTCCAAAGGTCTTTCCCTGATGCCTCCCGGAGGGCACCGAGGAGATGGCCTGTGGTGTGAGTCTGTCTGGACCCTCAGGTACTGCGGTTCTTTGAGGGGGTTTTAGTTAGTCTCATTCTCCTGTGAGGAATTCAGGTTTCATTACATCTGGAGACCACGAGATACGATTAAATCTCACCGTTCGGAACATGCAAACAGAACTAACCTGATGTGGAAACACCAAGACCAGCTATTTCTGAAACTCAGTTTCGAGTTTGCAAAAATAAAGTGACATTCTCTCGATCACAGCTTTTAGGTAAATACCTGATTTTTCCTTTCTTTTTTTCCCCTTCCTCTTGATCCCCCTCCAGAAAAGTCCTAGTTAGGAAGGAAGCAGCAGCTGAGAGCAGACGGCACCTGGGGCTGGGCTACGTGATTTCACAAGGACCTGTTAGACCGAGTGAAACGCAGGGACCACACTGATCTTTATCAGCCATGGGTTGTTAATTAACAGCGGTGTCCACTTCCTGCTGGCGATCACTTACTGCTTACCCACTAATTAAAAATTAGGCAGCCTTTGTGCTCATGAGAACAGGAACATTTGACATGAGATAGCATCGTTCAAATTACCTGCAAAATTAAATCTGGAGTGTCCAATTGCTCGCCCAGGCCGGGCCACCAGAGCTTAACACATGATCTGCTCAGTTCAGCATATGCTCTCGTGAGTCAGAACACCGGGGACAGGCTACGTGGGCAAAGCCCATGTGGACCTGCCTGCGTGGCCTGCAGAGAACAGACGCCTGCTGAGCGTGGGCGCTGGGCATGCCTGTCCTGAGCTTGTCGTAAGGACACCCCGCTGGCCGAGCCGTGCCTGCGTGATGGCCGCAGCCTCCCTGCAGTCCCACGGAGGCGGTCCGTCTGCCTCCAGAGAGGGCACTTCCATGAGCTGGCCTTCCGGGGGTGGCAGGTGTGAGCTGCCTGGCCTCGAGACATGGGTTCTGCTGTGGCGGTGAGGAAACGGGTTTAGAGGGGGAGAGACCTTGGCCATCGTCACTCCTCCTCAGACAGATGCTGTTTCACCAGTTTTTCAAAATTGGTGGTAAAACAGACCTCACGTAAAATGCCCCATCACAACCACCGAGGTGCACGTCAGTGTGCTTTCAGTGCCTGCACGCCGCTTCCGTCTAGTTCCAGAATGCTCTCCTCACCCCGAAAGCAGCTCTGCACCTGAGAGCATCATTCTCACTCCCCGTCCTCTGGGCCTTGCTCCCTGTGGGTTGGCCTGTCCCGGAGGTCTCGCATAAGCGGGGCCTATGACACGGCCCCCCATGTTTCATAGCAACCCTAGGAGCTGGAGGGGCGGCCCCTCCTTGGAGATAAACAGCAGAGGCTTGGAGAGTTTCACCCTTAGGTCTACACTCCGGGTTTTCTTAAAACTCAGGAAAGGGGTAGGAGTGGATCGAGAGGCGGGAGGGTAGAAAAAAGACATGGGGTTTGTAGCCAGAGCAGGCGAAGTGTCACCTCTTCAGTTACCTCTCCTTAGGGGACAAAAAGCGAGAGACAAGCACTCTGTTCTCTTCTCCTAATTGGCTTGTTCCAAGGCTCTGGAGCGTGTGCCCGCGGGGGGTGTGCAGGCGGCGCAGTCTTTGCCTTCCCGGCATTGATTTTCCAGGGCGCCGAGAGGGCCCTGTTACAAAGAACCTGGGCGTCTACAGTCTGTCTTGCTGAGGACTGAGTTTTCGAGGGAGAGAGGTGTCAGTCTGAACTTATTTTAAAATTTAATTAATTGATCATTTAAAATTTGCCAGAGGGTGCACGTGCTTGCCCGGAGAGACAGAGAGAGAGAGAGGAAGTGAGAGTCCCCCTATGGGGGATGGCTACACCACAGCACAACCTCTCCTCCTTTTTCTCTCCCCTTTCGGGATCTTGGGCACTTACGCACACTCACTCGGCATATTTCTCAAGATGCAGCCGGGTCCAGGACTCAAACCACCAACTCAGCCATGTGGAATCCAGCTGCCTTAACTGTCAGGCCAAAGGCAGGCCCTTAAGTAATATTTTAAGTGCATAATATTTAATAAGTAAATGTGCAAGGGAGTTGTGGGCGTGGGGAATAGCTGGAGGGTGGGGCACAGAGGAGAGGCTGAAGGTTAGCTCACCCGCCCACCTCGGGCATGGCAGGAGAGCCTGCGTCTCCCAGGGCTGCGTAACAGAAGGCAGGGACTGTGGCTTAGCCAACTGGAATTTATTCTCTCACACCCTGGGGTTGGGAAGTCCAAGGTGTGGGCAGGGCCACGCTCCCTCAGAGGCTCCAGCTTCCCGTGACTCTAGGCACCCCTTGGCCTGGGGCTGCATCACTCTAACCTCTGCCTCCCCAGGCAGTGTTTAAGCTGCTTTATAGTTTTTGTAATTAATCATTTTAGGCTTAGAAAAATATTGCAAAAGTAGCGTAAGGAGAAATGGTGTAGGAGGCCAGCAGGTGGCATAGTGGTTAAGGTGCTGGACTCCCATGTCGTCAACCACGGTTTGAGTCCCTGACCTGGCAGCTTGAAACTCACACTGGGTGTGTGTGTGTGCATGCCCAAAATCCTGAGAGGAGGCTGGAGGAGAAGGGATTGTGGTGTGGCCATCTCCTGGGTGGTGATTTCTTACTTTTTATCTCTGTCTCTCTGGTGAGCTCACATGCCCTGGAATGTTCTAGAACAAAAACTGCTCACATCCCAACTCTCCCTCAGCTCCACAATAATGCTAACTGCTCTTATGCTGGCTGGGTCTCCACCCAGATGACAGCTGAGCCCTTCCAGCCATAGCCCGGGTGACCATGAGGGACTTCCCCTGCCCGCCCCGCCAAAGACATGGGGTTTGTAGCCAGAGCAGGCGAAGTGTCACCTCTTCAGTTACCTCTCCTTAGGGGACAAAAAGCGAGAGACAAGCACTCTGTTCTCTTCTCCTAATTGGCTTGTTCCAAGGCTCTGGAGCGTGTGCCCGCGGGGGGTGTGCAGGCGGCGCAGTCTTTGCCTTCCCGGCATTGATTTTCCAGGGCGCCGAGAGGGCCCTGTTACAAAGAACCTGGGCGTCTACAGTCTGTCTTGCTGAGGACTGAGTTTTCGAGGGAGAGAGGTGTCAGTCTGAACTTATTTTAAAATTTAATTAATTGATCATTTAAAATTTGCCAGAGGGTGCACGTGCTTGCCCGGAGAGACAGAGAGAGAGAGAGGAAGTGAGAGTCCCCCTATGGGGGATGGCTACACCACAGCACAACCTCTCCTCCTTTTTCTCTCCCCTTTCGGGATCTTGGGCACTTACGCACACTCACTCGGCATATTTCTCAAGATGCAGCCGGGTCCAGGACTCAAACCACCAACTCAGCCATGTGGAATCCAGCTGCCTTAACTGTCAGGCCAAAGGCAGGCCCTTAAGTAATATTTTAAGTGCATAATATTTAATAAGTAAATGTGCAAGGGAGTTGTGGGCGTGGGGAATAGCTGGAGGGTGGGGCACAGAGGAGAGGCTGAAGGTTAGCTCACCCGCCCACCTCGGGCATGGCAGGAGAGCCTGCGTCTCCCAGGGCTGCGTAACAGAAGGCAGGGACTGTGGCTTAGCCAACTGGAATTTATTCTCTCACACCCTGGGGTTGGGAAGTCCAAGGTGTGGGCAGGGCCACGCTCCCTCAGAGGCTCCAGCTTCCCGTGACTCTAGGCACCCCTTGGCCTGGGGCTGCATCACTCTAACCTCTGCCTCCCCAGGCAGTGTTTAAGCTGCTTTATAGTTTTTGTAATTAATCATTTTAGGCTTAGAAAAATATTGCAAAAGTAGCGTAAGGAGAAATGGTGTAGGAGGCCAGCAGGTGGCATAGTGGTTAAGGTGCTGGACTCCCATGTCGTCAACCACGGTTTGAGTCCCTGACCTGGCAGCTTGAAACTCACACTGGGTGTGTGTGTGTGCATGCCCAAAATCCTGAGAGGAGGCTGGAGGAGAAGGGATTGTGGTGTGGCCATCTCCTGGGTGGTGATTTCTTACTTTTTATCTCTGTCTCTCTGGTGAGCTCACATGCCCTGGAATGTTCTAGAACAAAAACTGCTCACATCCCAACTCTCCCTCAGCTCCACAATAATGCTAACTGCTCTTATGCTGGCTGGGTCTCCACCCAGATGACAGCTGAGCCCTTCCAGCCATAGCCCGGGTGACCATGAGGGACTTCCCCTGCCCGCCCAGCTGCTCCTGAGTCCGGAGAGCCTGTTTGTGGAGCCTGTGTTCCCAGGCCTGCATGCTGGTCCTCAGACGTTTACACTTGATACTGAATTTGGACACTTGTCTCCACTGAGTGCACATTCCCCATGGGTGGAGGAACCAGGGAAGAGCAGTGGGAGAGCGCGAGCTCTCAGGGGTTCTGCACCACCTGGGTCTCGCTGAGCCCTCTTGGGGCCTGCTCTAAGCATTATGAGTCAGTAGTATTTGCTAACAGAGCATGTGTCTGGAAGTCTCTCTCTTGAGTAATCCTTAGCTGTCTTGGGAGAAGGCTGACATAGCCCTTGTTCTGTAGAGCAGGACTTTGGCAAGATAGTTACAAGGCTTGACACATCCAATATGCAAGGAGACTCATATATTAATGGGGTGAAGATTCTAGAACCCGGAAACAGAACCAGGACAGAACCGGGGCGAGCTCAGCTCTTCGCAGGGCTTTGGGAGCTGGTTCCCACCACATCTTCCCTAGAGGGGCCAAGGGCAGCTCATCTCACGGGTGTATTTCACTCGAGAGGCGAGAAGGGTGGAGGCTAGTGGGCCCCATTGGGTGCCTTTGGGCTCCAGCACAGCCCAGAGACACGGAAGGTCCTGGAAGCAACCCAGCGCCCCCAAGGAAGGACAACACCTACTGGGCTGTTGATGGGAGCTTCCACAAGGGGGCCCTCTTGAGCTTTGGTTGGGGCGTTTGGGAGCCAGGGGTGAAACCGGCCCCGCCTCTTTGGGCTCAGCCTCCAGCCAAGGGCCACAGCCTCCCTAGTCCTCCGTGTCTCTGGTGGGGAGGGAGGCCCCCGAAGCCAGCTCTGGGCCTAGGTTTGCTTCCACGTGGGAGATCTCCCTTCCCACTCTGCAGAGAACACGTAGTGAGACCGGAGGGCCGGGTAATGGGGTAGCCAGCCTCGCCTCCTTTCAGAGCGACTCCAGCTGGAATGTCAGGAAGGCCATCTGGGAAGCTTCAAGAACAATGAGACAAACATCCAGGCCCCTCGGGCCTTCCCCGAAGACGATATGGAGCCTTTGGGTCAGCTGGGACAGGAAACACTGGGGTTTTAAATGCAGGAACACTAGCGTAATTTAACAAATCAATTTTTCTTGCATTGTGTTGAGATTAACTTCGTGGTCTCTTCCATACATTCAAAATGAGGAATTTCCCCGGAGCACAATTTTGTGGGAAAACTACATCATGTTTTGAAAAGCCTATTTTGTTGGGAGTTACCAGATTTCATTTTAAGAGGAATGGTAATATTTAATTACGGCATTATTCTACCATCTGGAAAATTAACGTGCTTTCGGTGTTTCAGGAGAAAGGGGGCTGAAAGTCCGAACCCAATTTTTAAATTACCATACAAATAGAATCCCGAAGACGCAAATATTGGCTTAAGTGGTGCAGGCAGGTAGAGGGAAGCTGGCTTCCTAAATGTTAAATCAACAGACTCAGGACTCTCGCTGTCCCGAGTGCCTGGACAGCCGCACTTGTGACCTTGGGAAGAGCAGAGCGGCCATGCGCTGACCGGCCGGCCTGGGCGTGCCTCACGAGGCCGTGTGGCTGTCACAGCATCGCAGGGTCTGCAGCTCTCCAGAAATCCCGTCCTCCACGTCTGCCCTCGGGCCTCGTCCAATGTGGCAGGTCTGTAACTGCCCCATTTTATACACCGAAAACGAGACTCAGAGGAAGAGACAGCCGGGGTGTCCCACTCTCCTGCCACAGCCCAGAGGTGAAGCCCCAGCTCTGCCCCGTCAGCCCTCTTCCCACTGTGCATACATGCCGCCCAGAGCCTGGTTTCAGCTGACGTGTCTCCAGACGTGCTATGCACCTGGTCTCGGGGTCACAAGGACGCTTCCACAAGGGCGCAGGGACATGGCATTCTGCTGATGCTGGACCAGTTCACCAGGGAGCTGACAGGGGAGGGCCCTCCGAAGGGGCCTCGCTGCCTACGGCTCCGTGAGGGTCTCGCACAGCTGGAAGCTGCCTGACGGGCGCAGGCCCACGGGGGGACTCCGGGCAGAGGCTGCAGAGGGAGTGGGCAGGGGTGAAAGCACAGAGCCACGGGAGGATGCAATGGGCCCTGTGCCAGGCAGGCATGCCCTGGGGTTGCCGTGGGAGAGGCCAGTGGGGCCCGGCCAGCGTGAGTCTGGGGTGTGTTCCAGGCGTGGGTGGGGGCGGGCCTGGTGTGTGTCCCACAGGGCACTGAGCCTGCCTGACGACACTGCCCGCCCCAGGGGGCGTGATGGTCAGTCCACATTTGATTGGTGCCCTGTCTGTTTTGACTCAGTTCAGTAACTGATGCAGCAGACCTGGGGCATAGAGGGATGGATCATTTTAAAATAAGTGAAGTGAAAATGAATTCATGACCTGGTGAGAGACGGCGACTCAGTTACAGGAGTGCGTGATCAGATGTGTCCCAGCGGCCCTGCCATCACCCGGGGACCGGCGCTGGGGGCCGCGGCGTGAAGGCCCGTGAGCTCATGTTAGGGATGATGCCGGGCACGTGGGCCAGGAGAAGGAGAGAGTGGGGAGGGTCTGTGGGGCCCTTCTGAGTCCGAGCAGTGAGGAAAGGCCGGGTTCTGGAGAATGGAGAGATGGGGAAGCCGCCTGTGGGGCGGAGGGGAGCCAGCTTCTCCGCTGGCTTGCTGTTTGCTGGCTCTGGGACAGAGCACCGGGTGGGGTGGTGGTGGGGAGTTCTGTTTTTGGAGATATTTGAGCATCCAAGGGCCATAGAGCTATTCCCAGGGGAGGGCAGAGGTAAAGAAGCCAGACAGAGGGAAGGGCCGGGGAGCCCAGGGAGGGTCGCTCAAGCACAGAAGAGCCGGGCAAGTGGTTTTATGAATAGGGTTACAGATAAAATACCGATGCCTGTTAAGCTGTGTTTCTAGTTGCACAACAAACAACACTTCAGTGTCAGTATGTAGCAGATACTCCGTGGGCGAGTGCAGAAGTTTGGTTGCAGACGGGAGGACAGCAACAGAGTGGCGTGTGGGCCCAACTGCTGAGCGGCGTAATTGCTTTTTTTTTTTTTTTAGAGGTTTTTCACTATAGGGCGCGTGCGCTCGCCAGACAGACAGAGACATAGAACAGAAAGCGAGAAATCACCCCTCCAGGGGGGGATGGCCATGCCACAATCCCTTCTCCTCCATTCTCCTCTTCGGATCTTGGGCACACATGCCCGGCGTGAGTTTAAGCCACCAGGCCCGGGACTCTAACTGCGGTCGACTACGTAGGAGTCCAGCGACATAGCCATTACGCTAACTGCTGGTCCCGGCGTAATTGCTTTTATGTCAGGCCTTTATGCGGTACGCAGGACAGCAGGATAAGTCAGAACTCAGGAGAGCATGAGGGATCCAAAAGCTCACCCACAATACCCTCATGCAGTGAGTCACCAGTAACCTGCTGGCATGCAAGTCCCTCTAGATTCCAGAGTCTGGGGGTGCCGAGAGGCCCAGCAGAGGGACCCCGGTCCCCTTGGAACTTCTGTCTCTTCAGCAATGCCAGGCCCATGGAGACAGCAATACCTCCTGGGAGAATGAAGAAACACTTCTTTCTAGCCTTTCCCCCTTCTTTGTCTACACATACAGGTATCTCTTCAATTATCTGCTATAAAAATGAGACCATTCTATAAACATTATGTGAAACCTATTTTTATCAAAGAATCGTTTATTTAATCATATTATTATCTTCTAATTTAATATAGGGCATATGTGCTCACCAGAGACAGAGAGAGAAAGGGAAAGTGAGAAAACAAGCCACCAGGTCGGGGACTCAAATCACGGTTGGACGTATTGGAGTCCAGTGCCTTAACCACCACGCCACCTGCTGGTCCCCCTGTTGTGTAACTTAATACTAGATTGCAGAGACCCTTATGGAAGGCTAATTTTTCTGAAAACTGAAGGGATGGAGGTATGTTCACAGGAGCCAGAGAGGAAGAACAGCAGGAGCGGGAGGTGCACCAGCCACCAGCCACGGGGGCCAGGTGTGCCAAGTAGGGAGAGCGTGGTGAGCATGGGTAAACCCCTCCGGGGATGGCACGACGTGCTCACGGTGGAAGTTTCTAAGTGTGCCAAGAAGGCGGAAAATGAAAGAGCAGTTTGCGGTAGGCCCTGCAGCCGCCAGCAGCTTCCTCCAAAGTGAGTCAGTAGGCAGAGCCCCGTGGGGCCTGCCAGGAAATGGTCCACGCCATCTCTGTATGGGAATGGCTATGATTTTTTTTTTAAATTTTTAAATTCTTTATTTAATTTTATTTATTCATTTATTTTATTTTGTTTGACCAGAGAGAAACACAAAGAGAGAGAGAGAGAGAGAGAGAGAGAGAGAGAGAGGGAAAATGAGAAAGCAAGCCACCAGGTCCAGGACTTGAACCATGGTTGGCCATGTGGGAGTGTCCAGCGCCACCTGCTGGCCCTGGGAATGGGTATGATTTTAATTTGGCCATTGATATTTTTTATGAATGCAATCTTTCTCTACTCATAATTCTGCTTTTTGCTTTTTGTGCTTAGATTATCAGAAATATTTTTCCATCTCAGACTTATCTCTTCATGGGAAGAACAGAATAATATTCCACTATATTGGTAAGTCTTGGTTTCGTTAACCAGTCCTCCACGGATGGTCATTAAGGTTGAGGCCAACTTTTGCCGTTATTTTTTAAAACAATGCTTTGGACCATATAGACATATCTTGGTGTAAGTTTGGCGTGTGTCCTTTGAAGAAATGTCTAGCAGTGACATCGAATATGCATGCCCACTGTTGAAAGATTTAGCCGAAGTGTCCTCCGGAAGTGCGGGTTCAGGTTTCCCTCCACCAGAGATGAATGAGAACACGGCACCCTGACCCCCTTGGCCATATTGTGTATGATCACATATATCGATGGTCCTGTCGCATGCGAGTCTAACACGTGGGAGAGAAATCACAAGTTAATGGAGGTTTCTGGCCATTGGCACATTTTTGTGCTTGGAGATAAACCAGAGGCACTAGTTAATAAGCGGATTCTCTGTTAACCTGACTCACATCCTTCTGTTTCTTTTCACTGCCATCAGCCTGGCACTGTCTTTTCTCAGTTGGAAGACTGACACGGCCTCTCACTGTCTTCCTGGCATCTGCTCTGGCCCCTGTAATTTATCCTCCATGGACCATCAGGCATGATCTTTAACATATGTCTATCAGCTTCTGCTCCTGCAGCGCAGCAACCCGAGTATTCCAAGGGCTCCCCTGTGCACAACTAGAAGGGATAGGAATGATGCTTTTTTATAGATCGGGAAGCCTCTGGTCTCCCTGTTCCCAACGTGAGATCAACGGGGACCTGTATCCACTCCCCTGAGGGCAAGTGCCCATGTCAGCACCACCTGTGGCCTAAGCATGGCGGATAGGGGTTGGCTGGAGACGTCTCAAGTTTCTGCTATTTCTTGGCTCCTGGCAGAAGCATATATGAGTGATCTCTTGAGGAAAGCATTATCATTTTAGGCTATTAGATTTTCATGGATTAAGATAAAACAAATATGAGTCCCCAGTTAAAGATCACCACTGAGTACACAACTGAGAAACCTACTGTGAAGTAAGAGTTGGCAGGAACAGAAAATGTACATCCAAGAACATCAGATATTGGAATTATTTGTCATGGAATACAAAGTAATGCATGTGAAATACCTACTTAAATAAAATATAGAATTTTAGAAATGAGCAAAGAGCATAAGTCCATAAAAGTGACCATGCAGATTGAAAAAAAAAATTAAATAGAACTTTAAGAAATTAAAATATAATTGTTGAAATAAAAAGTCAATTGCTGGGGACCAGCAGTTAGTGTAATGGCTATGTTGCTGGACTCCCATGTAGTCAACTGTGGTTCAAGTCCTGGACCTGGTTGCTTAAACTCATGCTTGGCACGTGTTCGTGTGTGCCCAAGATCCCGAGAGGAGAATGGAGGAGAAGGGATTATGGCATGGCCATCCTCCCTGGGGGGTGATTTCTCACTTTCTGTCTCTGTCTCACTCTGTCTTTCTGGCAAGCACACATGCCCTATAGCAAAAACCTCTCAAAAAAAAAAGTCAATTGCTGGATCAAGGAGCAGATTAGACATAGTTGAAAAGAAAATTGATGAACTGGAAAATAGAGGTAAAAAAAATTATCCCAAATTTAGTAAAGAAAGAAAGGGGACTGCACACTAAGAAAAAGGAGTTGAAAGGCATAGAAGCTAAGATTAGAAAGTCTAACTAATGTCTCAGGGAAGGAAAGAAAAGAATGGGCAGAGGAGAAGTAATAGGTGAAGAAAAATGTCTGAGAATTTTCCACAAGTGACAAGAAAGTACCTTTGGCACAAGAAAGTACAGTGAATTTCAAGTAGGATTAATAACAGGAAACCAACACTTGATCCAAAGACAAAAAGTAGAGAAAACAATCATCAATTGAGTTTTGTGTACTGGCCAAAAACGTCTTTCAAGTACAAGGTAAAAGACATTTCCAGACAAACAATATTAAAAGCATTGATCACTCTATTAAACAACCTTCTAAACTATGTAATTTATGGGGGAAGAAAATTTACTGGAAGGAAGTCCAATTTTTAAGAAGGAATAATAAGCAAATAATTTGGAAATGTTGTAAATCTAAAAAAGAAATAAAAGGGTCATCTCTAATTTTGCAGGATTAAAAAAATTAAAAGACAATTGAAATACTGGAGAACTGGAGAGTGTAATTTGAGAGAGAAATGATTAGGTCAATGTTCTAAATTTCTTGAGTTAATTAGAGAAAGGGTTAAGATATTATAATTTCAAGGATAGCCACTTTATAAATAGAATTATTGTATAACTTCTTTTTTTTGAGAGGTTTTTGCTATAGGGTGTGAGTGCTCACCACAAAGACAGAAAGACAGAGATACAGAAAATGAGAAATCTCCTCCACTCTCCTCTCGGGACCTTGAGCATGCACGTACATGCGCCTAGTGTGAGTTTAAGCCACCAGGTCCGGGACTCAAACTGCAGTTGACTGCGTGGGAGTCCAGTGACATAGCCATTACACCAACTGTTGGTCCCAAATATTTGTATAACTTCTAAACCAGAATAAAGAAAAACAAAGGAGTAAGTGTAACCAAATCTATCCCCTAAAAATTAACAAAGAAAGTAGAGAGGAAAAAGCATAAAATGCACACTTTGTAGAAAGTAAAAGCTGATTAAAAACAAATCTGAGTAAGTGTAAATACATTTACTTGACAATTAACAGAGATTACCAAATTAAATGACACCTCCTCCAGCTATGTGTTATTTACAACAGACATTGAAGCATGAAGTCCCAGAAAGATTGAAAATGAAAGGATTGGAAAAACCTTATCAAATATTAAATTTAAAAAAAATGAGTGGCTTCATCCATATTGGATAAAGCGGGATATATAACAAAAAGCATTATTAGGGATAAAGATGGTCACTCCATGAGAGGGTCAATCTGCCAGGAACACATGACCAGAAACAGCACTGAAGTTCCAATATACAAAACGAGCCCTGCTCGTGGGAGACACTGACAGATCTATCATCGTTGTGAGAGAGTTTTGCACAACGCTTTCAATCACTTACACCTCACATAGGAAACATGGTCGTAATGATGTAAACGGGTGAAAAGCACAGTAAGCACGTTTCACTCCTTTCGTAAATGTGTGAGTGTGCGTATGCACGTGCGAGTGGCGTAAGTGTACACACACTTAGAGGATGCATATTCTTTTCAAATACATACGCAACATTTACAGAAACTAGTCCCAGACAGGTCATAAAATAAGTCCCCATAAATTCAAAGAATTGACAGGTATGAGCTACATTTCTGACCATGATGAACCTAAATTAAAAGTCAGTAATAAAACCATGTTTAAAAATTCTGTTTGGAGAGGCTGACCCCATGGCGTCATAGTTAGGGGAGCTGGATCCCACATGCCCACTGCATGGTTCGAATCTCAGTCCCTCCGACTTGAAAAATACGCTGGGTACTTGTGTGTGCATGCGTGCCCTGAATCCCAACAGGTTGGAGAAATAGAGGAGAAGGGGCTGCAGTGTGGCCATTCCTCACTGGGGGTGCTTTTCCACTCTCCCTCTCCCTGTCTCTGTCTCTGTCTCTCTTTGGCAAGTCCGTGCACCAAATAGAAAAATAAGATTCTCTGTGTCTGGAAATTAGAAACACTCTAATACTTGGGCATCTCTGAAGAAATCAAAAATTTAAAACTACAGATCTTAGAACTAAGCAAAAAGTAAAAATAGCGCATGCCCACACTTGCTGAGTACCGAGAAAGTCACACTTCAGGGTCACTTATGGGCTTCTATCTTTTATTCAAAAGGAGAACGTCTGATAAGTAAAGATAAGCAACTTTGCAACTTGACGCTGGAAAAGGCAAAATAGAGTAAGTCCAAAGAAAGAAGAAATAAAAGAATAATCAGGACAGAAGGAGAAGTTAATAAAATAGGGAGCAAAGCTACGAAGACAGAGTGCGAGTCCCACATCAGCTCTGCGAAAGTCCTGACAAGTGAAGCCACCTCTGGTGAGGCTGATCTAAAAGAGAGAAAGAGAAAAGGGAAGAAGAGTGAGTTGAAGGGGTGGGGGTGACAGAGAGAAATTAAAAATACTGGGAACAGGACCAACAGTTAGCGTAATGGCTATGTCACTGAACTCCCACATAGCCAACTGCAGTTCGAGTCCAGGACCCAGTGGTTTAAACTCACGCCGGGCGCGTGTGTGTGCGTGCCCAAAATCCTGAGAGAATTGGAGGAGAAGGGATTATGGCCTGGCCATCCCTCTGGGGAGTGATTTCTCGCTTTTTGTCTCTCTGTCTTTCTAGCGAGCGCACGTGCCCTATAGCAAAAACCTCTCCAAAAATAAATAAATAAATAAATAAATAAATAAATAAAATAAACTAGTGGGAATGAAAAGGAAACGAAACTAGAGATCAAGCAGATTCTTTTGCTAAAAAGTTTATGATCCACTATATGTATGTGACTCTATTCTAAATAGTTATAACTGTTAAAGTATTAAATGACAATTTAAAAATCCTCTCACACAAAAAATATAAATAGACAAAACCAGAAAGCAAAAGCAAAAAAAAAAAAAAAAAATCCCCAAAAAGTTCTATATCAGGGTGTTTTTACCAGTGAGTTCTACCACATGTTAAAGAAACAAATCACTCCAATTTTTTTTTTTTTTTTTTAGGTTTTTGCTATAGGGTGCCTGCACTTGCTTGAAAAAGACAGAGAGACAGTGAGGGGGAGGTGAGAAGTCGCCTCCTGGGAGAATGGCCATACCACACGCCTTCTACTCCAGCCTTCTCCAGAGGTCCTGGACATGCACGCACATGCACCCACTGTGATTTTTAAGCTGCCAGGTCTGGGACTTGAACTGTGGTCGGCCATGTGGGAGTCCGGCGCCTTAATCACTTTGCTACCTGCTGGCCCCAGATCACTCCAACTTTACGTAACCTCTCCTCGAGAGTAGAAAAAGAGGTACTGACCTCACCCTCCCTCGGTGAATTCTGGTTACCGAGGTCACATCTGGGTTTTGTGTGGCCTGAAATTTATCCCATGTAGATGTGGGTTCTTAAGAAAAAGGATGCAAATTTATATTCAATGCAAAGTTGGCAGAAAAGTAAATGCATATTTAGAATTAGAAAACTACAACCAATTACAAATGGCATAAAACGGACACATACCAAACACGACAGAGCCTAGAAAAGTGACATGCCATGTCATTATTCACTGCTTGGGTCCTCTGTGGTAGTTCCCCTCCCGGTTTTGGAGATGCAGTCTTAGCCTCTTGGATGACAAAGTCTACATTTATGTTTTCTGTGGCATGAGTAGGAAGGCCATCCAATTTTTAGTCTTCCTTTGTGGATCGAAAATATTTTTTTTGTTATCGATCACCTAGAAAGGTTTTTCAGCTGCATAATCGTTATTATAATGTCGTAAACTCTTAGGATTGGTGTCCATCTTGGAAATCCTCTATCAAGTTTCTTTCATGAGCGAGCTCTGAGATTTGCTAGATTTTCTGCTGGCCAGCTTCCCATTCTGTCCATTGCCCCCCCAAGTCACCCCCGTGTTCTGTGACCGGTGCAGAGGTCACCTCCTGCACCACATCATGAGGGTGGGCTGTACTCGAGGAGCAAAGGTATTCCTGGAAGCCAGTTCCACGTTGGCTCAGCTGGAGAGCCTCGGGACAAGGAAGTGGCTCAAGAACACTGAACACACCACACTCACTAAGCAAATTCCCAGACCAACGTCCCCTCGATCGGGGCCCCAAATGCCCACTGTCACTGTGTCACTTATGGCGAGAGGCAATGTGTGATGAGGGGAAGACTGCGCAAAGGACCGGGGACAGAAAGAAGGGGCAGGAAGATGCTGTCTCTTCGCTCCTCACTGTTAAAGTGTGTTTTCCACGTTTAGGAAACCAGCGTCTCAGCGGACGCCCCGCTAGGGTGCCTGTGGCCCTGCCCTGCTCTACGCTTTGGGAAAACCCTTCTGAGAGAGACAGTGAAGCCTTTCGAAGACAGTATAAAGGAGGAAAATCAAGGACAGTGTGACAGAGTGGCAGAGGGAAGGGATGGGCCGGTCTCCTGTACAGATATGGTTGCAAAAGTCCTACATAAAATGCTAGCAGAGAGCACATGTGCCATGGTGCGCCCCCGTGGGGTCTATCCTGCAATGGAGAGCGGTCAGTGGTAGGAGGTCGTGGCTGCGTTCACCAGGCTCACAGTTGGAAAGGTCCACTCACAGATTGAGGAAAAGCATCGGATAGAATTCTGCACTCACAATGGAAAACCCAAGAGAAAGAGCTGGAGATGTCCATGCGCTGATTAAGAGGAGTGCCAAAACTCTTGGCAGTGAGGGCAATTTTTAAAGGTGAGATACTGAAGTGTTGCCAACAGGACTAAGACGAGGACGCCACTGGCGCAATGAACAGGCGTTACTTTCAGTGCTTTATTGAGGGGCCCAGTAAAACAAGAAGAGCAAAGAAGAGATACAGGATTAGAGGGACCAGCAGTTAGCGTAATGGCTATGTCGCTGAACTCCCACGTACTCGACCGTGGTTTGAGTCCTGGACCCGGTGGCTTAAACTCACTCCAGGAGCGTGTGCATGCGTGCCCAAGATCCCAAGAGGAGAATGGAGGAGAAGGGATTGTGGTGTGGCCATCTCTTCTGGGGGGTGATTTCTTGCTTTCTATCTCTCTGTCTGTCTGGTGAGCACACACGCCCTATAGCAAAAACATCTCCAAAAAAAAAAAAAAAAAAAGAAAGAAAAAAGAGATACAGGATTAGATACAGATACAGTTATCATTATTTGTAGAAGATATGAGTGTGAATGTAAAAACTCAAAATCTACAAATGGCCATGCTGCAGCCCCTTTCCCTCCATTCTTCTCTCTGGATTTTGGGTACGTAAGCACACACACCTGGTGTGTTCTCTGATTACATTCTATATAGGGGTTAGGGATGCCATTTACAACAATAGTAAAAAGTGTAAGATATTTGGAAATTTAATAAAAATATGCAAGACATATTTGGAGAAAATCACAAAAATTAATTGAAAGGCATTAAAGAAGATAGAAATAAATCAACAGATATTTATGGATAGCAAATCTCAAGAGCTGTCTAGTCTCTATGAACTGACTCACAGACACTATGGAATCCAGTCAATTTCAACAGGATATCTTATTTTATTTTTTTAGGATGCTGACAAGATGGTTATAGAATTTATGTGAAAGAGCAAAGGTGTCAAGAGTGGAGGAGAAATAAGACACAGGGGCGGGTCGTGTTGGAGCTCGAGATTTATTGAAAAGGAGAGCCACTGCAGTATTGTATGTTCGGGGAAGCAATTAAACAAATTGACAGCGAGACAGAGCACAGGTCTGTGATGGGTGGGGAGGAGAGGGCTAGGGCTGTTCAGTAACAGTGCCAGGGCCATTGGTTATCCCGCAGAAAAGGAGAAGAAATCGAATTCCTTCCTCACGCCACAGCCCCGGTCAGTTTCTAAGGGATAAATGACTCAAACGTAAACAAAGCCGAAGCTTTATGAGGAGAATAGAGGACTGTCCTTCTGACCTCAAAGCAGCAAAGGGTTTCTTAACATGTAAAATGTACAGAGTGCAGAGAGGCAAACTATAAAAGGTGACCACACTGAAAGTAGCAATTCAGAGACCAACAGTGCAGTGGTTACATCGCTGGACTCCCACATGGCCTACCGCGGTTCGAGTCCTGGACCCAGTGCTGGACTCAGACTGGGCACATGTGTGTGCATACCCAAGATCCCGGGAGGAGAATGGAAGAGAAGGGGCTGGGGCTTGGCCATCTCCCCTGGGGGGTGATTTCTCACTTTCTCTCTCATTGTCTGTGTCTCTCCCAGTGAGCACGCATGCCCTAAGGCAAAAACCTCTTTAGGAAAGAAAAAAAGAAAGAAACTCAAAAGACCCTATACATGAATGAAATAAATGAAAAGCCACAAACCAGGAGGAAACACCTATGACACACCTGACCATATAAGATCCAGAAAGAAGGCTCTGCAAGTCGATGGAAAAGTGGCACAGGACCCCGGCCCGCGCTCTGCAGGAGGGGAAATCAGAGAGAAGATACGGGAGGCCCACACTCCTCGAGAGCTGGAGCATGCAAATGAAGACCCAGTGAGGTAACACTTCGCACTCATTCGAGTAGCAAAAACCTGTGGATTTCAAAATAGCAAGTGTAGGTTAGGATGAACGGGAGTGCTGCCCGTGGGAGAGAAAGTGGGGTAACTACTCTGAAAGAGCTCGTTGATTAACCTACAGACGCTCACGGTGAGGCCAGTGGTTTACAAGCACGTTCTGTGACCCACAGGAATGAATTTTCTGTCATCATCCCTTATTACGTATGTGCATGCACTCACACATACGCACACGATGTGAGCACACGCACGCACACACAGTGCAAGCATGCACACATACACACATGATGCAAGCACGTGCCCATGCACACACATGATGCAAGTGTGCACTCACGCATACACACAGTGCAAGGACGCACACACACGTGTATATGCTGGAAACAGAAGTTTCAGGAAACCATGTTGGTTCTCTCTGTGAGAGACCACTTTCAGGTATTCTCTTTCATTTAAGAAAACACGGGTTCAGCCGCTGATGAGATTTCATGGCCCATTCACAGGCCAGGATCCTGATTTCGGTAGCTCTCACGCAAGTGCACCTGCCAAAAGCACAAGAAGGTTCCTAACTATCTCACTCTGATCAGCAAGGGGGGAGCCAGTGGTCTGTCCACA